AGCGCCAGTTAGGGGGTCACTGGTTTGGGAGGGCTCAGAAAAGGGGGTTCAGGTCTCGGGGCTGCCTTCAATGGTGGGGGCTCTGTTCTCCAGGGGAATAGGCCTGGGGGGGTCTGCATTGGAGGGGATCTGCACTCTGGGAGGTGGGCTGCCTCTGCTGTCAGGGGGCCCCAGGAGGGGGGCTCTGGACTGGGGGGGGCTCTGCTCCCAGGGCCCATCCCCACTCACCCCGCGAGCGGTTCCAGACGAGCAGGCGCAGCTCACCCAGTGCCTGGCTCAGGTTCTGCACCCGGCCCTGCAGCTGGGTGTTCTCGGTCTGCAGCTCCCGGATGGCCTCCTGCAGCTCGAAGGGGCGCCCCCCGCCCTCCAGCAGGGCCAGCAGCACCAGGGCTCCCCACAGCCCCATCCCGCCCGCTTGCCACCCCAGCCCGACTGAGAACCAGAGCCAGCCCTGCGAGCCAGCCCTGCGCCCCCTCGCTCCCCGGCCTGCGCCAGCCCTGATCAATGCACCCCCCCAGGGTTGTTAATTACCAGCCCCCACAGCTCAGCACAATGAGCAGTGCCCCTCGCTCCCAACCCACAGCCCCTGTCAGCCCTGCCCCCACCCCAGCCTTGCTGGCGCCCCTCATTCCTGACCCACAGCCCGTGCCAGCCCAGCCCTGGACACGCTCCCGAACTGCAAGCCCTCAGTGATCACTGAGCTACAAGAAAAAAGTCACAGAGACATGGAAAAACTCTCCTCCCATGGTGCTACTGTAATTCACTCCATTGATAATGTGCAGTGGCATGCACCGTGGGGTGCTACCGTAATACACCCCAGCAGTAACATTCCGCACCATCCCTGATGCCCCCAGATGTGTCATGAGTTTGGGGGCCTGCATATTTATACCTGCCCCTGGAAATTTCCACTACTTGCATGCTCCTACACTTCAGTTACCCCTCTGATACTATTCTGCACCATGCAGGCTATGCACCTTTGGGTCCTAATGTAATGCACCCCATTGATAATGTGCAGCGCCATGCACTGTGGGGGCCATGCGCTGTGGGGTGCTACCCGAATACAACCCATCGATAATGTGCAGCGCCATGCACTGTGGGGGCCATGCGCTGTGGGGTGCTACCCTAATACACCCCATTGATAACGTGCAGCGCCATGCACTGTGGGGGCCATGCGCTGTGGGGTGCTACCCTAATACACCCCATTGATAATGTGCAGCGCCATGCACTGTGGGGGCCATGCGCTGTGGGGTGCTACCCTAATACACCCCATTGATAATGTGCAGTGCCATGCACTGTGGGGGCCATGCGCTGTGGGGTGCTACCCTAATACACCCCATTGATAATGTGCAGTGCCATGCACTGTGGGGGCCATGCGCTGTGGGGTGCTACCCTAATACACCCCATTGATAATGTGCAGTGCCATGCACTGTGGGGGCCATGCGCTGTGGGGTGCTACCCTAATACACCCCATTGATAATGTGCAGCGCCATGCACTGTGGGGGCCATGCGCTGTGGGGTGCTACCCTAATACACCCCATTGATAATGTGCAGTGCCATGCACTGTGGGGGCCATGCGCTGTGGGGTGCTACCCTAATACACCCCATTGATAATGTGCAGTGCCATGCACTGTGGGGGCCATGCGCTGTGGGGTGCTACCCTAATACACCCCATTGATAATGTGCAGTGCCATGCACTGTGGGGGCCATGCGCTGTGGGGTGCTACCCTAATACACCCCATTGATAATGTGCAGCGCCATGCACTGTGGGGGCCATGCGCTGTGGGGTGCTACCCTAATACACCCCATTGATAATGTGCAGTGCCATGCACTGTGGGGGCCATGCGCTGTGGGGTGCTACCCTAATACACCCCATTGATAATGTGCAGTGCCATGCACTGTGGGGGCCATGCGCTGTGGGGTGCTACCCTAATACACCCCATTGATAATGTGCAGTGCCATGCACTGTGGGGGCCATGCGCTGTGGGGTGCTACCCTAATACACCCCATTGATAATGTGCAGCGCCATGCACTGTGGGGGCCATGCGCTGTGGGGTGCTACCCTAATACACCCCATTGATAATGTGCAGTGCCATGCACTGTGGGGGCCATGCGCTGTGGGGTGCTACCCTAATACACCCCATTGATAATGTGCAGTGCCATGCACTGTGGGGGCCATGCGCTGTGGGGTGCTACCCTAATACACCCCATTGATAATGTGCAGTGCCATGCACTGTGGGGGCCATGCGCTGTGGGGTGCTACCCTAATACACCCCATTGATAATGTGCAGCGCCATGCACTGTGGGGGCCATGCGCTGTGGGGTGCTACCCTAATACACCCCATTGATAATGTGCAGTGCCATGCACTGTGGGGGCCATGCGCTGTGGGGTGCTACCCTAATACACCCCATTGATAATGTGCAGTGCCATGCACTGTGGGGGCCATGCGCTGTGGGGTGCTACCCTAATACACCCCATTGATAATGTGCAGTGCCATGCACTGTGGGGGCCATGCGCTGTGGGGTGCTACCCTAATACACCCCATTGATAATGTGCAGCGCCATGCACTGTGGGGGCCATGCGCTGTGGGGTGCTACCCTAATACACCCCATTGATAATGTGCAGTGCCATGCACTGTGGGGGCCATGCGCTGTGGGGTGCTACCCTAATACACCCCATTGATAATGTGCAGTGCCATGCACTGTGGGGGCCATGCGCTGTGGGGTGCTACCCTAATACACCCCATTGATAATGTGCAGTGCCATGCACTGTGGGGGCCATGCGCTGTGGGGTGCTACCCTAATACACCCCATTGATAATGTGCAGCGCCATGCACTGTGGGGGCCATGCGCTGTGGGGTGCTACCCTAATACACCCCATTGATAATGTGCAGTGCCATGCACTGTGGGGGCCATGCGCTGTGGGGTGCTACCCTAATACACCCCATTGATAATGTGCAGTGCCATGCACTGTGGGGGCCATGCGCTGTGGGGTGCTACCCTAATACACCCCATTGATAATGTGCAGTGCCATGCACTGTGGGGGCCATGCGCTGTGGGGTGCTACCCTAATACACCCCATTGATAATGTGCAGCGCCATGCACTGTGGGGGCCATGCGCTGTGGGGTGCTACCCTAATACACCCCATTGATAATGTGCAGTGCCATGCACTGTGGGGGCCATGCGCTGTGGGGTGCTACCCTAATACACCCCATTGATAATGTGCAGTGCCATGCACTGTGGGGGCCATGCGCTGTGGGGTGCTACCCTAATACACCCCATTGATAATGTGCAGTGCCATGCACTGTGGGGGCCATGCGCTGTGGGGTGCTACCCTAATACACCCCATTGATAATGTGCAGCGCCATGCACTGTGGGGGCCATGCGCTGTGGGGTGCTACCCTAATACACCCCATTGATAATGTGCAGTGCCATGCACTGTGGGGGCCATGCGCTGTGGGGTGCTACCCTAATACACCCCATTGATAATGTGCAGTGCCATGCACTGTGGGGGCCATGCGCTGTGGGGTGCTACCCTAATACACCCCATTGATAATGTGCAGTGCCATGCACTGTGGGGGCCATGCGCTGTGGGGTGCTACCCTAATACACCCCATTGATAATGTGCAGCGCCATGCACTGTGGGGGCCATGCGCTGTGGGGTGCTACCCTAATACACCCCATTGATAATGTGCAGTGCCATGCACTGTGGGGGCCATGCGCTGTGGGGTGCTACCCTAATACACCCCATTGATAATGTGCAGTGCCATGCACTGTGGGGGCCATGCGCTGTGGGGTGCTACCCTAATACACCCCATTGATAATGTGCAGTGCCATGCACTGTGGGGGCCATGCGCTGTGGGGTGCTACCCTAATACACCCCATTGATAATGTGCAGCGCCATGCACTGTGGGGGCCATGCGCTGTGGGGTGCTACCCTAATACACCCCATTGATAATGTGCAGTGCCATGCACTGTGGGGGCCATGCGCTGTGGGGTGCTACCCTAATACACCCCATTGATAATGTGCAGTGCCATGCACTGTGGGGGCCATGCGCTGTGGGGTGCTACCCTAATACACCCCATTGATAATGTGCAGTGCCATGCACTGTGGGGGCCATGCGCTGTGGGGTGCTACCCTAATACACCCCATTGATAATGTGCAGCGCCATGCACTGTGGGGGCCATGCGCTGTGGGGTGCTACCCTAATACACCCCATTGATAATGTGCAGTGCCATGCACTGTGGGGGCCATGCGCTGTGGGGTGCTACCCTAATACACCCCATTGATAATGTGCAGTGCCATGCACTGTGGGGGCCATGCGCTGTGGGGTGCTACCCTAATACACCCCATTGATAATGTGCAGTGCCATGCACTGTGGGGGCCATGCGCTGTGGGGTGCTACCCTAATACACCCCATTGATAATGTGCAGCGCCATGCACTGTGGGGGCCATGCGCTGTGGGGTGCTACCCTAATACACCCCATTGATAATGTGCAGTGCCATGCACTGTGGGGGCCATGCGCTGTGGGGTGCTACCCTAATACACCCCATTGATAATGTGCAGTGCCATGCACTGTGGGGGCCATGCGCTGTGGGGTGCTACCCTAATACACCCCATTGATAATGTGCAGTGCCATGCACTGTGGGGGCCATGCGCTGTGGGGTGCTACCCTAATACACCCCATTGATAATGTGCAGCGCCATGCACTGTGGGGGCCATGCGCTGTGGGGTGCTACCCTAATACACCCCATTGATAATGTGCAGTGCCATGCACACTCCACTGCCCGCTCCATTCCCCGCCCCTTTGGGGACCCCACCCCAGTCTCCTGCCACTCCCAGCCAGCCCTTCCCAGACACAGTCACCAGGATCGGGCCCCGCCAGACGAAGCCTCCATCCCAAGGGCTCCCAGTCTGGCCTGAGCCCCCGTGGCAAGGGGGGACGCGGGAGCTGAGGTGGGGCCCAGCCCTGCTCACGGGCTCCTTTCCTGTTGGCAGGAGCCGAATAACCTGAAGGCCCGGAACTCCTTCCGCTACAATGGCCTGATCCATCGCAAGACGGTCGGGGTGGAGCCAGCCGCCGACGGCAAGGGCATTGTGGTGGTGCTGAAGAAACGGGCAGGTGGGTGGGGGCAGGGATGCCAGCGGTGGGCTGGTTCCCTGCACCCGGGGCAAGGGATTCTGGGGGCCAGACTTGGTTTCCCTCTCCCCTGAAGGCCCGGAACTCCTTCCGCTACAATGGCCTGATCCATCGCAAGACGGTCGGGGTGGAGCCAGCCGCCGACGGCAAGGGCATTGTGGTGGTGCTGAAGAAACGGGCAGGTGGGTGGGGGCAGGGATGCCAGCGGTGGGCTGGTTCCCTGCACCCGGGGCAAGGGATTCTGGGGGCCAGACTTGGTTTCCCTCTCCCCTGCTGCACGTTGCCAGTCAGGGATCTCTGGGGAGGGCAGAGGAGGATCCAGACCCATGTGTCTGGCGCGCTGATTGGGCCCCCAAAACGCTCCATACTCCATTCCCTTCCCTGCTGAGCCAACTAGTCCAGTCCCTGGGGGTTCAGAACTGGTGCCCCATAGAGGGGAAGGGCCCCACTGCCCCATTCTCAGCCCCGCTGAGCCAGCCAGTCCCTGCCCAGAGTCTGGTTCAGAGATGGTTCCCATTGGGGAAAGACGCCCTGTCGTGTCCTGCTACATAGACCAGCTCCTTCCCTGCCGTCTCTCGCTGTGGCCTTTCCTGGCTCTGATCTGTGGTCCCTGCCCCAGGTCAGCGCAAGCCAGCCACGTCCTATGAGAAGACGACCATTAATAAGAACGCCCGGGCCACCCTCAACAGCCTGCGTCACATCATTCGCAAGAACAACTACCGCAAGGACCTGCGCATGGTGAGTGCCAGGCTGAGCCTCCGCTGTCCTGGGGCTGGACCCCGGCTCCCCAGAGACGTCTCCTGTGATTATGAACCCTTTGGAGGGGGGGCACTGCCCCATTGGCCAGAGCTCTGTGCCCTTGGGCAGAAAGGGGCTGACCGTTCACTTCCCCTTCAAGACGGGAGGACCTGGATTTAATCTGGGCCGATGGGCTCAGTGCTCAGCTCATCATGCCTGGTTGGAGATGCTAGAGTGGGGGCATTCCTCAGTGTGGTGATAGTCGCTCGGCTCGCCATGCCTGGTTGATTGCCTTTGTGTGGGGGGAGGGTGACCTGTGGTTGTGGGATGCAGGTGGGTGCTCGGCTCGCCATGCCTGGGCAGGACCTCCTCCCCCAGTGTAGCTGCAGTGGGATGATCTCTGGATGTGGAGTGTTGATTGGCATTCGGCTCGCCAGCCTATTCCATGCATGCACCCGCCCCACCCCCTCCCCAGCCCTGGGGG